TCAGACTTCCTGCTGAAATCACATCTCTTTATTACGTTTCCTGAACGAACTGCTTCTCAGACGACCATTGACCCAACATATCCTCCAGTTAAACCTTCGGGCGGGAGCCGGAACAAAAATACTGACTCACATCAGCCTGATGGAAACATGAGAAGTAGTCGGATGCTGAAATGAAGTCGAACCCTGAACCCCTCGATCAGAGGTTCATGCACTAGGCCACGAGTTACCTCTAGCATTGTTCTGGCCTCATTACTGCGCTGAAAACTAAAAGTAGGAAGTTAGACTGGACGTTCTGTTTACAGGTCATCAAAAGAACCGCATAACAATTGCAAGTAAAAAGGTGACGACACGCCAACTACAACTCAGTACCCGGTACATCGGAACGCTCGCAGGGTGAGCTTTCTCTATAAAGTTTCACCTAGCTATTGTAATTGAAAAGTCGGGTCGTTGTTTCGCCATGACTGAGGCTAATCGGCATTGTGCGCACTTCGGCTCAGACAAAGAAGCATCAGTCATCTCATCACTGTCGACCTGAGAATTCAACCCATTGAGCTATCATGATTTAGCGTCAGGGTTCACTTGTTCAATGTAAGACAAGTGGGAATCGGCTTGCATGGGAACAATCACTTATCATGTATCACTAAGGGGTTGAAAATGGTACCCCTGAACACTGAGATGCTAAGAAAAATTTGAAAACGGATACCAAGGAATGAATGTGATGCTCATCCTACACAAGTAGGCAAAACAGGATGAAGGAATGAGCAAACGTGAGATCACGCAACTCACTTGTCTGTTTCCTGTTCAGTACACAAAGGTCGAACCTGATTCTCACGATTTGGCCGGAACAGGTGGCACATGTAGAATGGCTGCAGAATGGCAAAAGTCAAAAGGGAAATGAATTGAACACATGGAATTCAAGGGTGAATTGCTGAACCAGGACAGACAGAGCAAGGCGAATTGGAGAATTTTGCTGAGACCTACGAAAAAACATTCGAATTCTTAGGCACGGTGCTGTGGGTGCCACAACAATTAAATAGTCATCTGTGCCAACACTCATCGCGGCGTTCCTCCGGTACACAGTACTGAAGCTGGTAGGCTATTGCACATAGAATGGGGAACTGTGTCACTGTAATTAACTACCTTGCTTCTTAAGGAAGCGTTATTCGGAACTCCCGGTTGACTCTGGCCGTATTCGAACCAATATCATATTTAGTAAACTTTCCAAAATATACCTAACAGATTTTTCGCTTGCACAGGGCTACAGACTATCAAAATGGTGACCATTAACTAAATTCAACGCATATTCGGTCGAGCCCTAGTCACCCGTATTTTCATGGCGTTATCTGATTGACCAACTTGGAGAAGACAAAATCAGATTGGTGTGTATGAAATTACTACGATCATCCTCTACGAAGACTGTGCTTGGAGAGGAACGTATGGGATGGTTCTTACATGGAGGGAGCAGACTTACGAAGGAAGCACTTAACTCGTTTGAGTTTCTGTTATTTTCTATTGATGTTTAGATTAAATCCGTTTCTACCCACTTGATGCATGATTATAGTGGTTACTACCTGTAACATTGCAAATGAGCGTATTCTACTTGCAAAAAGCGCTTTTCGGCGTGCCATTGTGCCTAATACTGTCGCTCACTCAGTGTCTCCATTTAATCCCCAGCACATTTGTCGGAGAGAAGCATAGCGGGACTGTTGAAAAGTGAGCGAATTAATTCACACCAGTGAACCATCCAACTGAGAATTCGTGATTGGAGGAGCCAGTCAACATGTGACTGGGTTCTATGATTAAGGGATGAATGGTACTACATCCTATCTCAGTGCGAGTTAAGCACACTGCCGATTGACCACCCGTGTCCGAACGGTTTAGGTTTTAACTGCTAGCCGGTCGGTTGCGAATTCGAATATCCCTGGAGATTCGTGGGATGTGCACTGTTTACAGTTTCTCGGTTTTTCGGCAATGGTCGGCTTTATTTATAATCTGAAATTTCTCTTGCGAATTCCCAGATCTCCTCACATTACCAACAAAGTAAAGGCAACCAAACTCTTATTAACAGAATGAAATTCAGAGACACTGCCTTACTCAGACCGATGTTTCTCTGGGTTCTGATGAGACCCTACATCTTATTGGTATGCAAGACCCGTTTTGTCAATGTTTATCCAACTAAGCATCTAACTTTTCATCCGGCCCAATAAAACATACCACTTTTTGCAGCGAAACCGAGGCCTAGTTGTTATCACAAGTTGGCGGATAATTTTAATCTTGACTGTACTACGAACTAACCAAACCTGGAAGGACAAATGTTACACCAACATTTTAATGTAATGTACAAATGATCGCGCTCAAACCTTTCATATGCAAGATGAAATTGTTGAAGCTGGGGCATTGATGGAGTACCACGCGGTCAATGGGACATTGATGGTCTCTCGCATAAGGTGTAGAACACAAGCTGTCTCGAGGTTCCGTTGCTCATCAGCAGTGCAAATGCATAACCGTGCCGGGAGTATTTTCAACATCTGACATGCGAGGTTAGAGTGTGACCACTACTTCACTAGCACTTGCTGGATACATGAATTTTCACGTCTGAGAAGTTAAACGTGTTCGCACTTGAGTGATGTGAGCGGTAAGCGAGACACATCGAATGACGACCCAGAAACATTCCTTAGTTGTGTCGATCGGTTGTTTCGAATTTAGCGATATGGGTGGCTAACACACGCCCATGGACGGTCAATTTTAATTTACTTCCACTCCTCCGAAAAGAGAATCGCCTGAAGAGAAACCAATCCCCCGAAAATTTTACACAGCATCTAATATCAACCAAGATCTAAAGAAAAATTCGCTAAAAGAGGGGACAGACTTCGTGAGGCTAAAATATGAGAATTTACTGATCGGAAGGTCCGTGGTTCGAACCCGACCCGTGCATCTCGGCTTCCCCTGTCTAGGCCTGGGCAACCTGGTAGCATCCCAGCCCTCATGCTTCCTTCTGGTGGCATGGTAGTAAGGCACCGAAAGAGTGCTACAGCTGAATAATTTTCAATTTTTTTCATGGTGTCCTATCTCCGAGGGAGCTAATGCATGAAACTGGTTTCTGCCCAAGTTCCATTTTTATTTCAACCACTTACACGGGCACACAGAACTGCAGTCTCGTCATCCTAGACTTTGAACCGAGTAAGGAGACATATAGTTTACTCAGCCAGTACCTGACATGACTGTTTATAAAGTTCGAAGGAAAAGTGAAAGCGCGGGAGTTGTGGGGTTTGACCAATGAAACAATTTTTTCGTCTGCCATTGAGAAAGGTTGGTATATGGGTTATAACACGAAAGCCTCGCGTCACTTGTCATGCTTTGTCGAATGGTTTAGAATTGGGTTGACTGAATTTTTGAATAGGACAAAACGAATCTATTGTGACTCACCACACTGACAGCAACAAGTAAGCCTAGAACCGCACCGGCAAGAACGTCAGTAACATGGTGTCTGTAGTCCGTTATCCGCGTAATACAAGTGACGATCGCCAGAGACAAGAACACGGTTTGTGCTGCTACGCGTAACGCGGGTATCCTGAACTTGGACTGTCGCAGTTGCAGATAAATCTGTGGAGAGGAAACAGGAGATTTGTTCACTTTTGCCTGGTTGCACAGCATGGAGATAAACGGCAATCAACAGCCGAAGTGAACTGGTGCGCTCTCGTTCAAAATGACTGCGATCAATGGACAGTGCAGGCCCCACAGTTGCACTACCATTGCAAACGCCTCATAAACAACAGACTGATATCAGATCTTAAAAACATCGGTTTTAACTCTGTCACTGACACAGTTCAGCCACCCGGAAAACTTTCAAGTACATCCAAACGATGCTTAGCCTTTTCAAAGTTAGCGTCACTAGTGAGCATGAATGGCCAACCTCAGAATCAGAGAAAAGTACAGTAGTGTAATGGATTCTTTGGAACCTGTGTGAGCGAAGAATAAGTTAAAACGGATATCATACCGCGTGAGTGAAGTTGTAGGTCAAGGAGGACAACATTAATTTTAGACTAAAATATTCTTCAAATACAGTTTGCCTGTAATTACAGAAACTCAAGTATTCCGGGAAAGACATGAACTAGCAATAAATGAATTCAAATAACCTGAAAACTGATCGCCGCGCACAACGAATACACAACACAATTAGCTATATCGCGTGGGACAGTAACATTGATGGGACCGAGTATCGTCAATGTACTCATGAAAAACCAATGGCCTAGTGGTGGTCACCTCAAGTGAAAGAGAAACGTTTGTGATTCAACTGTCAGGAACCGTGAAAAGAACACTTACACGCACAACTCCTCAGATCGACTGGGTACTGCAATAAAATCACTACACCTAGTAGTTTAAATCACCTTCTTTTTGTGTCACTATCCGGTACACAGGACGACATCGGGTGAATCAAGCAGATCGGGTGTTTGGTATGAACGGAATACAGTTGTGTCGAACAAAAGGTTGATCCATGAATTTGTGCGATGTCATCATTGTATGTGCACGAATCTATCTCACTTACATTAATCCGAATGATGGTCTCAACCTACGTGAAAAGCATGAGTGTGTTTGCAAGAAG